AAAATTCACTAACAATTCAATTGGTCATCAAGAATTGAAAAAAACGATAAAAACGATAATAAACATCCACAAATCAAATCAAATTCAAAATAATTAATTAAAAATATCATAACAAGGGTTCATCTCATCTTAGCAATGTATAAAATTAGCCTAATATATCGAAAATATGAAAAAACACATTTGAGTATAAAGACATAACCCGAATTTTTGTAAATTGAAAGATGAAGATGAATCTTGAAGTCTTGAATCTCTTCAATGGTTTCTTGATAAATTTCCACTTGAGCCTTCTCTTCTTTGCCCAAAAATCAAGTTTGAATCTTCACTTAATTGAATTCTTGCAAATCTTTTTCAATTCTCTCACAAAAATAATGAATTCTCCTACTTTGATGATGATTATTGGAGTACAATATGTATATGTCAGTTCCCCCATATGTGTTCTACTGTTAGGTATTTGTAGGAGTTGAAAATGGGTGGAAAATCATGTCCAAATTGACTTCCAATCGAATAAAGAAAGTTATCTTTGCGCAAATGTTTTGTCTCTACACAGTAGTCAGTATTTTGACCATAACTTTTAGAAGGGTATAGACTAACTTCGTTATCAAAGTGCGTTGGAAAACAAACTCAAAGTGCTACAACTTTTATAGAAATAGTTTTTCCCAATTCGGACGTTTACTATGCCAAATATGGGTCTCAGACCTCGACTAAAAATCTGGAATATAACTTGTGCGATTGAAAATTGATTTTAATCATATTCCATTCTTTTTTGAATTCTAATTCTATCCATTTATCTCCTAGAAATTTCAAAATATCATCTTGTGGTCCGAATCAACTATTGAATTTGCAATTTGGTCATCAAACTTTGGATTTTGCCATTTTTTACCATTTTCACTTATTTCTTTCCATTCCTTGTTCAACCATTGAGTTTTACCTATATAACATAAAATACGACAATTTAAGGTATATTTTGTCAAAAAAACTATCAAATATCGCTATTTTAGACCCCAGATAAGTGTATAAAATACACTTATCAAATATCCCCAAACTTAAATATTTGTTTGTCCTCAAACAAAATTATAACCTAAATAACAACAAACACACAAGCATGCAAAAAATATTTGGTTAGAAAATCTATCTTTTATATTGGTATTTGAAATCACAGTATTAAATCTATGAACTGTTTCAAAGTCACAATATCAAACCAACATCTACTCTTCCAATGTAAAATCGACGTGTGTGTGAAGAACTAAGTAGACATCATGACTTTACAAGTTACT